AAAACGCTACGAATTAATTCCAACACCTAATATATTAAATTTGATGATATTATCCGTTGAAATTATTCTATCGACATCATCTAATATCTAATATACACAATAATGTATATGTTAGAAAAATAGTCAAAATTAAAAAAAAATGAATTGTTTAGTATAAATGACTTATTAAAGTATGCTAAATTATATTTAAAAAATTTTGTTAACATAGTATAAAATACATACTATAAAAGCCAGCTCTGAGGGGATTAATATTTGAATTTGCATTTTACCTAAAATATAAGATTGTATAATACGTTTAAAATATATATACTTTTGAAACTTAAAGTAAGATATGTACATATTTGATATTTGGCGAAAGCGAGAAAGTCTTGTGTAGTCTAGTGTAGAAATAAAAAACGGACCTAATGTTATGTATAAATTTGTATAATTTTGTATAATGTCATATATTATTGTATATAACTATATGAGAAAATTAATTACATACAATTATAATTTGTATAATTTTATATACATTTGTATATGTATAAATATTTATATAATAGTATACAGAGCTCGATATCATTTGCTTCTAGGCCGATTTTCAACTCGGCTCCGTCTTCCACTACTCTTCTCATCTCATAATCCCACGCGCAGTCCAAATGCCGCCCAACGCTTAGGAGCGTATAGCGCTTGTAGACATGAGGCCCATTCGCTTTGGGCGCTCACGATAAACTTCATTCTATCAATTTTTTTCATTGTTATCTATTTTTTTTCATTACACAACTAAGATAGAATGAAGCAACGCATAAGCGCTCAATCTTACTATCATTCTATCTTATTTATGCAATGAGGGAAAAAAATAGAATGAAATTTACAACGTGAGCGCCCAAAGCGGGTGGACTTCATGTCTACGAGCGTTATACGCTCCTAAGCGTTGGGCGGCATTTGAATGCGCGCAGAGTGATGAGATGAGAAGAGGAAGGCGGAGCCGAATCGAATATCGACCGAGAAGTGCAAATGATGCAGAGCTCTGTTATATAGGTCATTTTTTCCTAGCAGCTATGTTAGAATAAGTTGCATAAACGAAATAATTATAATTAGTTAAAAGTTAAATTAAGACTAAATTAACGTAGATTAAATTAAATGTAATTTTTTAATATTAAAAAAAATTATTTTAATATTAAAAAATATTACGAAAGAATATTGGCAATACAAATTAATAAATAAATTTAATATTTTTTATTTGTGAAATGAGTTTAAATATACGTTCCCTTATACGAAAATTATAAAATACGTAAAAATATGAATTTTTCAGAAAAAGGAAAAAGCTATTTTTTAACAAAAAGTTATTAGCTAATTAAATAAGATTGAATATAAAAAATATATTATACTTAGAAACATGATCAAATATTATTATTTTTGTTATTTTTATTTCATGATCCTTAAAGAATTATCCTTTTTGAGTTGTAATTTGGATAATTTTGATATCCTACTTGTAATCAATATAGATAATTCATTAAAAGTGACAACTCAAAATATGACAATTTATATTTACCTCTAACTTATTGTTTTATATTGTTTTATACATATATAATTTTTTCATTTTTTTAAATGTGTCTTTTTTTAAAAAGAAATCATACAAAAAATAACCATTTAATTATTTTTTACTTTTATTATCGTTTTTATAAAATAAAAACAATCTATGCAATAATATATATATAAAATTTTATTATTAATTATTTACTATCACATATTTTTGTAAAATATCGTACATATATTTATAAAATATTTTACATATTTTCTATATATAAAATATTATTATATTACAACTCCACTTAAACTTCGATTACACTTTTTACTATTCTTGAATCGTGAAAGGACAGAGTACATCGCACGAATTATATAATGATTGACTCGCTTGCTCACACTTTTCAATATTTATCTCGCATCTTTGTCGTCAACTTCTAATCAGTATTCGTCAAATTATAATTGGGTATTCGCGATCGGATTCTCTGTACCGATCATGCAATTAGGCCACCTTAACTTAATTTTTATTTCATAATTTCGTCTCTCTTACGAATTTCATAACTCGGTTTTTCACCTTAATCATGTTTATTAGGTCATGAGCAATCGCACTCATAACTCAGCAAATAACTTACAGTTGTCAATAATGCTGTAATGTCAATATTTTATAAAAACACATTATCAAAGTTATTGCTTAATACATCATGGTATATTTTGAATTTTTCTTATTGTCCCTTAGTATCTTCAGTAGTCCGTTAATATCTTCTTTCTCAAAAAATGCAGATCGTTACAATAATTCTAATTTCCTTTTCACTATACCTATGTTTATATGCCGCGTGTGATTTAAATAATTTCGATATAAATATTTCTAAAAATGAAAATTCCTGTGTCTTCGGCGTTACATCGGTATCAATGGTTTTGTTCACCAGGTAAAATACACACGTTAGTATCTAATGTTAATTTATTTCTCACGTCACTTACGTTCGTATTTCTTTCAGTAACATTCCTCGGGGTAAATTTATTGAAGTAAACAATTCCTGCGATTTTTTCGATTCATCAAAGTCAGTCTTCTTTATAACTCATGGTTTTCTTGCACATTCGTACTGGCCTAATTTTGATAATCTTACTTCTTTACTGTTAAAGGTAAATATTTTTTATACATAAGAATAGAAACAAAAATGTAGGATTTCTTTCTGTATTTTTAAAATTTTATATATTGCATAAGTAGAAAAAATAGAAAAATATTGTAATGCTTACAGTAAAATAATTTAACAGAATATGACTTTTTTCTATAGAAAGACTATACGATATTTGCGCTAGATTGGTCTAATGCAGCATGCTATAATGACCCTATTATCATAAATCTACTAGCGTATCCTTTTGCAGTACGTAACACTCGCGAAGTTGGCGACTGCTTGGCAAGGTATGGCTACTTTACAGTGTTAATAATACAGATATACATATATAATAAATATAAATCCAAATTAAAATAATTCTAATTCCAATTTCAAATGATTTTCCAAATAATATTGTACAATAATAGATAATAATTAAGTAATACCTATAATTAATATATAATGTAAAATAGATATAACGATTATTAAGGCCTCTTAGGCTTGGCTGAATTTTGAGCAAATGGTATATTAAGAGCAAATGATATATTTATTTAAATGAAAAGCAACAATTCATACCTGACACTGGCGTATCAAAAACAAAGACTGTATATTCTATCTGTATATTGTTAACACTGTTATAAAACGTTGTGAAGGCAAAAAAAGTGTGAAACAAAACATATGAAAAAAAACGATTATTTAATTCAAATGGTGAGCGAGTGAGCCACTAGAATAAGCCACTATAGTGGCGCGTCGTTCAGAAAGATGACATCCGCGAAAGCCATTATAGTGGCGCATCGTGCCTAAGAGATTAAAATTTAATTTTGTACATTACATTGTATATGTTATATTGAAAATAACAAAAATCAAATGACGATGTTAAACCGAATAAAATTCGATGTCTTTAGTTTATGTATATTTGTAAAAGATTTTTCTTTCAGCTACGTCAAATCGGTGATAAACATGTGCAATGTTCCATTGAAGAAGATCACGCTCATAGGCCACAGTCTTGGCGCGCATATAAGTGGTTTCGCTGCGAAAAACCTTCAGAAATCAAATTATGGTAAGATTCCGCTACTCATCGGAACTGATCCCGCTGGTCCCTCATTCTTATTTAACGATTGCAAAGACAGATTTTGCAAAACAGACGCTAATCATGTGGTAGCTCTTCACTCATCATTTCTCGGGATACAAAAATCTATAGCTCATCTCGATTTATGGTTTAATAATGGCATTTCGCAACCAGCATGTGAGTAATTAATTACTATATTTAACCAAATATTCGGAAAATATGTCACTATAGTAGTAGCAAAAAAGAAAATAAGAAATTATATAATATAAAGTAAAAATTTTTGTTTTAGGTCCATTTTTTCAGCTTAACTGCTCGCATAATATAGCTGTTGAATATCTGGCTCATACACTGTTAGATAATTGTGTATATGTCGGTGTTCCCATATCGTAAGTTTTTTGTCAACTAACAGCATATTTAAATTTAAATTAATCATTTTGTAAGTTTTTCTGGACAATTTATAAAATAGAAGCTACGTTGTCATAAAGTCATATCACATTATTTATTTTTACTTTTTTTCAGGTCTAGAATATTCCCGTTTTTTAAGTACGTATAAATAAAAAAGTATCTCCTTAGAATTCCTTATTTATACTCAAGCAGAATAATCAAACACGATGAACAAATCACGATGTCAAAATTACATTAAAACGAATCGACATGATTGAAAAATGACTTTAATGTTCATTTTGGAGTCATTTTGATGTCATTTTGATAACTTATTGTTTTGTATGGGTAGGCACTTTGAACGTTTACTTTCCGACTATAATATTAGGTCTGTTCGATTTGATTACCCTTTTTACACTTAGTATCTTCGTTTTTTCTCTTTTCAGCGCCAAATATATATCTATCTCATTTTAAGTGTAAAAAGTATAAATAAATTGAACAAACTAATTATTTATTATGATTGCGTACTCTTACAGTGTCATGCCTGGTTGTTCTTCCGATATTACTAAATATATTGTGGTGGATAGCAACATATTCGACAATAACTATTCTACAACAGGAGACTACTGTGTATCCGTTACATCGAAATATCCCTACTGTAAGGAAAAGTACAAGCTGTAAAAGATTTATGTAATCAACATTTTAATTTCATTTTAATATTCATTATAATGAAAATAAAATTGTATACTTGTCAATCGTATAATTTAAGAATAATAAGATTAATAGCCGCAGCACAGACTCTTGTATAACGCATAATGCATAATGCATAAGGGAATCATTCAATCACAAAATACTTCTTTTTCGTGAAATGGAAGAAAAGGAAAAATTCTGATGCGAAAGAGTCTGTGCTGCGGCCATAACCCTTTGTTGCATAGTGTGTCTGTAAAAGGCGTATCTTTCTCGCCGTAGTTTCTGTTTGTTTTTACATATTTTATAACTAATTTATTACGCATATGATGGGGGGATGAAAGTTATGTGCTCCTGAAGCAGGGAGGGAGGTGAAGTGAAAGTCGCTTCGCATGGAAGAGAGAGTATTTTATAATTAAAAAAAAAAGAAAAAAAAATTTTTTTACCATTTTATTATATTATATAATTAAATAACACAAAAATTAAAAAATTTTTTTTCTCGTTTTATTATAAAGTACATTTGAAACCATGCGATTTTCATTTTAAGCATTTTTATCTACCTTTTACAGTTTCGACTATATTCGTTTCGAAAGAGAAAAAACGATTTTATTCGAAGGGATGTTTCACCCCTTAAAAGTGAAAGCGTATAAAAAAATACGTCTTATTTTTGTCTGGAGAATAACATACTAACAGCTCATTAAGATCGGAAGGGGATAATTGGATTCCTTTCCTTCCTGAGATTAGTTCTTGAAATATTGATTTAAAAAAAAACAGCAATTTTATAAATCCATGTTTTATTAATCAAACTGATATAGAGCATACAGATACAGATGTAGCGTTTTTTCTTTCGCATGGTTTCACGAATTTTTAGTATTTGAGGGTTAAATAAATTTTTGAAATATATTAATATATATTTTTATTTTTAGTATTCCTTTTTATATTCTAATATTTTTATATTTGTAATATTATTTTTAATATTTATTTTGTGTTTAATATTTTTTAAAGTATTTGTTAAAGTGTATTGCAAGAAGCGCTGTAAGTATACTATAAACAATACAATTCAAATTTACTACAAAACAATGACGTAACTTGATAACAATCCTGATTGGTCGCTAGGCTGTCACGTGATTACATCCTGTGTATGGACATATTCTTGTCCTTATATCATGTCAACGACTATAAAGCCCGATCTACATAAGACGCAGAACGCGGTCACAAGTCGTAAATTAGAAACTAACTTAACGTATTTTAATTATAATATAGTTGTAGGACGCAAAAAGATCTGAGCACAAGAATTATCGTAACACTTACTTATGCCCGTGTCACACTGTGCATTGGAGACTGAGGATTGCGAATTGATTAGAATTCAGTCAATTAGAACGAAACGGATTAAAATTAAAACTATCTGATTGGTCGAATTCTATTCCTTAATTCGCAATCCTCAATCTCCAATGCGTAGTGTGACACGAGCATTAGGCCCGGTTGCATCAACGTTACTTTGATTTTAAGCGAAATTTAAAACTCTCTTTATCTCATTTAAAACCGAAAAGAGACAGGGACAAAGAGAGTTTTAAGCCTCGTTTAAAATTAGAGTAACGTTGGTGCAATTGACCTTAGAGACTTAAGTTGTAGACATAAGTAACGCACAAGCTTTGACGTACGATTTATTGTTCTTGGAGACATGGCAATAACTTGTATATCATACAAGTGAAATAATAATAATAATAATAATAATAACAACAACAACAACAATAACAATAATAATAATAATATTACTATTAAATATGATGCGATTTCTATCTTCTATCGACAATTTGCATACATATGTCGTGGCATATTTTTCTATTTATTTGCCGTCACCGCCATACATTTATTGATTAAAATGAATGTCTTATATATCTATTAAAATGGAAGTGTCATATCCATTATTTTAAATAATTTCTAATGACCCATTTCTCATTCAATAAAGTTTCTGAAAATCTATTTTATACTTTTTTTTATATAAATAGCTCTGAAAAAAAAATTTTATAAAGAAATACAGAAAAACTACATAGATTGAGACAAAATCTTAGAAATTCTTAATTTTTTCATAGATATTCGTAGTGGCAGGTAGAGTGAAGTTTGTTTGCTTAGAGATTCTTAATTTTTTATAGATATTCGTAGCGAGACGTAGAGTGGCGTTGTTTGAGAACTAAGGAATTTCTAGGTTTTTCAAAGAAACAACGTCGCTCTACGTCCTACTACGAATATCTATAAAAAACTAATAATTTCTAAGATCTTATCTCAATCTATGTAGTTTTTCGTAAAACTTTTCCGACAGGGAGTAACTATTTGATTGATAAATAAGATTTATTGTCGATCAATTTCGATTGGATTTAGTTTTCTTTATTGAAATCAAGGATTGGTCGTATTTACAATTTCTCAAAATATGTATTTAAATAAAATAAATTAAATGCGTTATTTAATATTTATTATTCCAAATAAATTTCTTATAACCTATCTCATTAATTTGTGAAATTAAATTTGATTTACATTTTAATATATATTAATAGTATCATGATATTATGTAAATTATACTAGTAATATTTCCTTTTTGACATTATACAATATATGCGTACATGCAGTTTCGAAGTAACATTGGCAAACCTAATAGTCATGATGAATGAATATCCAGAGAAGAAGTGTACGATCGGAGGAAACTAATTTCAAACGGGAAAGCATCGATGACGCCTAGTGTACGTATTGAGAAACGCCCTATGAGACGACTCCCTCATTTACGTTCTGCTGTCTTATACTCGTACTCTTATTATAGATACTCTACATTTAGCTAGACATATTATATCAGAGTCTGGACACGAGAGAGACAACTTTTGATTGGTCCGTCGTTTGTGGCAACTTCCGCTCCAATTCAAATTGATAACCTTATAAATTCAGATAAGAGAGAAATGTATACATAAATTTTTTAGAATGTTTTTGTTTTTTTAATGAATTATATATAGACTTACTATCATATCTTTGAGATAATGAAACATTTTTTCTTTTATTATAAATTCTTAACCTAAATAGTACAACAAATCTAGCAATTATTTTGGTTAACAGATTATAGTATTTTAAAATATCATATTTAAATTTAATATTATTATAAAATTTCTTATTAAAAATAATTTAATATTGTTTATATCATCAAAATATTTGTTATAATATCGAAATCTTTGTTCCATTGCTATAAAAATTTTAAATGTATTTATATTAATAAAATATAAAGAATTTTTTGTGTAACATTTCAATTGCACAAATTTTGTAAATGAATACTTTTTGAGCCAGCAGATTGTAAACATGCATCACATATTTTATATGTTTTCTTAATAAAATTTAAAAGATAACAACCAAGATTATATAAGCTATTTAATTCAAGATTTGACAATTTTAATACAGAATTTTTAGAAAAAAGTGGAATTTTATCATTAATATTATTGGGTATGTGAAATTAGCACCTCAACTATAGTACTCAGGAGTTCTGATTCCTTTTGAGAGTTCCTGTTTCCTTTTGACGAGACAAAGAGTTCTATATAATTTATAACAAGAGTTCCGCTTAATAATTATTTTTAAATAATTTTTTAAAAATGGGGTGCTAACTTCTCATTGAAAATCGAGATCGAATAATTCTGAGCAGTTCAATAGCTTCATTTCGTGAATACCTAGAGTTCCTGATGCATAAAAAAAAATTTCGAAAAATCAAAAAAAAATTAAAAATGTTTGAAAAGTCAATTTTTCGATCTAATAGTTCTGATTAGAGTTCCTGCTTCCTTTTAATGAGACGAAGAGTTTTCTATATTTTTTAATGCAAGATTCATTTAATAACAATTTTTAAATAATTTTTAAAAAATGGGGTGCTAACTTCTCAGCGAAATTCGAGATCGAATAGTTCTGAGCAGCTTAATAGCTCTATTTTGTGAATATCTAGAGTTCCTGATACATAAAAAACAATTTTGACACACAAGAAAATTTATAAAAAAAAAAATTTTTTGTTTAAATAATTTTTTTTATAAAATAGTTCTGTGACACGTTAATTGTCATTCTAACAATTTCGAAGAGTTCTCAGCGATTAAAACCAACACAGACTCAAAAATTAAAGAGAGATATATATACTTAAAACGAAATTTGAAAAATCGGTTGCAGAAATACGTATTTCGTTATATAGTCATCCAATCGCTTTGTCACCTAATATTTTTTGACAAAACTCGTCGAGAACTACATAGAACTCTAATCAGAACTACTCAGTACTCTCAAAAAATTTTTCGATGTCGGACTTGAAAATTTTCTCGCAGGTGACAAGAATTGAGACGATCTTCGATCTCCTCATGTTCCAACAATTCAATGTTCTTCGCGTCTTATGTTCTTGAGACAGACTGAGACATTTTATTAATTCGGCATGAGCATCTCGTATGCGTGCTCCACGGGCGGGTTCATGATAATGTCGCGAATCTCCATCATGTACCATGGAACGAGCTAACGCGTACTCGAACTTCGTTACTTCGACCACAATTCCGGCAGCCTGAAAGCTGCGATCGAGTATGCTGAACCATAGTTCAGGATTTACGGGCGTAAATTCGAGAATTCGCATGCCCACCTCTGGACCAGGCAAAAAGTAATCGAATGTCTGATTCACGGTTATCCGCTGTTCTGCCATCATCTGTTGCATCGTCTGCGATCTCTGACGTTTTGTCTGTTGCGCACCTTGAAGTCGTTGCTTCGAACAATGTCTTTGTCGCTCCAACTGCGCTCCTCAAGACCTTGCTGTTGCTGCTCCTTTGACTGTTACGTAATACTCATGTTCACTACTTTTGCTCACATCTCACGTTACTTCCCTACTGGTTACTGTCTTCCCGAAAAGAAAATCTTTAGTCGACCGGATAGTACGTCCGAGATAAATTCAGTGCGCGACGAGAACAAAAAAAGAAAAATGATCACGTCGGGCAGTCACCACTTTGATG